AGTAGTTATAATGTAAGTAGGCCTCATCCTGTTCAGTTATAGGAATATTTCTATATAGGTTTTTTCTTCTAATTAGTCATCAAAGTAGAGGTCTGGATATTGCTTCATTTATACCCTTTGCCTCTTTGCAGAACCATTCCTAGTCATAGTATCTAGGGTTGAAAGATTTCCTTAGAAATCATCTAGTCCAAACTTCTCATTTTATAGATAAGAAACTGAGGACCAGGGACATTAAATGACCTAGCCAGGATCACACAGGTGGTAAGCAGTAGAGCTGGGATTTGAACCCTGGTCCTCTCCTCCTCTAAAAATTCTTCTAGGGAGGCTCTGGCCTAAAGGTCCTTGTTTATGTATTCCATTATTTCACAACCCTTCTAATCAGAAAGTCTAACCCAGGGGTGGAGAACCTGCAGCCTCGAAGCCACATGTGGCCTCATATCTTCAGATAGCCTTATAATTCCCTTGTCTTTTTATCATACTTCTTATTGACCCAAGTTACCTTTCTAGTTTTTCCTTGAAAGATGTTTTCTAATACTTTTTTTTTCATAGTCCTGCAATCTTCATTGCACTTCTCTGTGCTCTCTCCTGGATGTGTTTACAAAACTCATAACTGTCACTCAGTTTAAAAAAACAAACAAAAACCTTAATGAATACTGTGTTTGCAGAGGATTATTCCATGATTCCTTTATGCTATGCTGCTATTTACAATCCTTAGATAGATGCTTGCTTTTGTGAAAATAAAGCCTGCAGTGCTGACGTATTTAGAGTTTGGTGAACCTGTACCTCTAGGCTGTTTTTCTCTACTCAGTCCACAATGTAGCTTTCAGAATCTGACTTTTCTTTTGCTTGGCCAACTTATCTTGGAGAGTAGTGCCTAATTACCTCGTGGTCAAGACAGAGTGCTTTGTTTCTCCAGTTCTATTCATGGAAATTTCTGGAAGTTCACTTTTAGCAGGAATTAAAGCATGGTCAAGATTGTGAAGGACTTTAAACTCAAGAAGCATCTATGCTGTGTTGGAAATTCAGCTCAGTGAATATTTCCTAAGTGCCTACAATGTGGAAGGTGCTGTGCTAGAAGTTGGAAATTTAAAGACAAATGAGTTAGTTCCTGCCCTCACAGAGTTTACATTTTTCTTTTAAATTCAGAATTTACATTCTTCTGGGCCCTGGAGATCATTGGATTTAGAATCAGAAGATTTGGGTTTGAATCCTAGCTCTATTACTTACTATCTCTATGATCTCAGCCAGGGCCTGCGGCCTCTGACAAAAGAAGCTTGAGATAGTGCCCTTTCCATCCTGGGAGCAGAGCTCAAATTTAAAAGAAAGGAAAAGGCCAAAAAGATGAGCAAAAAACAACCAAAAAAAGGATATCTTCATTTCCTTCGTCTGTAAAATAAGGATGCTGTCTGGCCAGACCTTTTCCTTCACTTGTAAAATGAAGATATTAGGCTAGAAAATCTCCAAGGGGTTCCCTTCCAGATCTAAACCATATATTGTATCTTATCTAGATATCATTCTGAGATCCTTTCCCCTTATGTCTAATCAGGATTACACCAAAACTATGCTAGGATTTCTTAGGGTAGCTAAGTGGCACAATGGGTAGTGTACTAGGCCTGGAGTCAGGAAGACCTAGTTCAAATCTGGCTTCAGACACTTACTAGCTATATGACCCTAGACAAGTCACTTAACCCTGTTTGCCCAAGGGCCTTCATCTTTAAAATGAGCTGAAGAAGGCAATAGCAAACCACTCCATTATCTTTGCCCAAAAAAAACCCAAATAGGGTCACAAACAGTCAGACACAGTTGAAAAATGACTGAACAACAAAAAAGATTTCCCAGATTTTTTTTTAAAAGAGAGATTCCAAATTCCGTGTACCTTCCTTCCTTTATTTATTTATTCACTTATTTATTTACTCATTTATTCATCCCTTTATTCATCTATTCATTAATCTATTTATCTACTTATTTATTTATTTTAGTTCAATCCCACTTAAGTAGGGATAGAAACTAGGGGAACTCCCAGAGGAGGAGACAAACTCTACTAATACAGTGTGGCAGCTTCTCTGAAACTTACAGTTTAAGAAAGTTGTCTCAAGGAAGAGATTAAGTGACCTGCCCAGGGTTGGAGAGGCATTATGTTTCAGAGGCAGCATTTGAATACAGGTCTTCCTGGATGGGAGACCAGCTCTCTCTCAACTTGGCTATGCTTCCTCTGAAGTCATTGTCATCAATATTTTTCAGCTGTCTATTTTTACCTTGCATCTATCTACCCTAAGTTGTCTGTGCTGCATTTCTTTTGCCCTGATCTCAGCAGAAACTAGAACTAGCTCTACTCATCATCTACTCAGACTTACTTCAGGCCCTTCCTGGTGAACTAACCCAATGCTTTTGACATTTAGTTACAGGTGCCATCACTTTATAGAAGAAAAACATTCAGAGTAATTGAAAAAAACATATTTAATTATGCAGTTCTGTGATAGTGTGTAAATGAGGGCTACTGAGAAGATGTTCCAAGGGACTCATAGTCTGCACAGAGAAACATTGAGGTAGCAGGTAGAAACATCTTCCTGGTAGTCAGGCAGTTAATCAGTCTCAGTCCTCCTTCAAGCCCATTTCCATACCATCCCAAGCTCCCCCACTCAGCTCATTGTTTACTTCCATTTTTATAGAGGATCCTGTCAACAGCATTTGTATATTTTATAATTGCAATTCCAAGAATATGATGAACCCTGGAGTAATGTACTGTACTTTGTAGCAACTGTCTTAGCTTTTGGGCACATATGCTTCAAATTTGAGAATATCATACATACATAGAGAGTGAAAGGGGATCTTCTCAGAGATCTCTGAGGCAAGCTGGTATTTAACGCAAAAGCACACCCATTTGGAGCTAAAGCACTTTCCATTAGGCAGTTTGGCTGCTGTTCTATGAGGCAGACTCACTGTGCTCGACGGACACATTGCGATTAAATGCTGTTTTGTATTCCTCCAAACATGAGCACAATAAGGACGTTTGTCAAAGGAAAAACTGCAGCAAACGATTGCACGTTGAACATCTGTACTCTGTAGTTCATTGTTTGTAAGAGTTTATTGACCATAATTTTGATGCATATAGGTTTTAAAGGGTATAAACTGCATTTGTTTTGAGCAACCATCATTTATTTGAGTCTTGGCTTATTTATTTCCATTTTCTGGGCTTCTTATTTATTTTAAGGCTCAGAGGATATAAAGTAAAATATGTTTCCCAAAAAGGAAGTTTTAGTTAGCTTGGCAAAATTGATGAGAAAATGCAATATTTTTCTAAAAAGAATTATGCTATTGAATTGAAAAATGTAGCACTAGACATGCTATATCTTTATAGCACCTTTCAGCCATATAGATCTTCAAACCAATTTATAAACTTTAAGAACTATACTCACCAAATCAAATATATAGCCACTTCTGGAGTACAATGATGATAGTCATTAGAAGAACCTCAGAGGCAGGATAATCAGAAGAATAATTAATAACTGCAAATGTGATTCTAAATTTGGTACCATATATGTGATCACCTTCTTAGGGCCCTTTGGATAGAAGGTTCACTGTTTATCTTTACTTAATGCGTTTTTGTTATCTTTTGTTTTTACATCAAAATAATTGTCTTTTACCCCTTCCACCATCCAATTTGTTGTCCCTTATTATGAAAACAAGAAATCAGGAAAACCGACAGACTACATCTGACGGTATATATACCATAATTTACAGCCATAGTCTCTGCCTTTCTACTGAGAGGAGGGAAGTCTGTTTCATTACCATCAGTGCTCTGGAAACTGAGTTTTGTTATTACCATTAATCATAAATCAAGCACTTTATGATATTTTCAGTTATATTAATGAACTTATTATGTATGTTGTTCTTCTGATTCTACTTACTTTACTCTGCATCAGTTCGTATATCTTCCTTTGAAAATTCCTCTGAATTCTTCATATTCATCACTTCTTATTAGGACGTAAGTATTTCATTACATTATATATGACAATTTCAGATGTATAGATAGCTCTAATGGTGCAGTAGATAGAGCACCAAGCTTGAAGTCAGGAAGACCTGTGTTCAAATCCTCCCTCAGACACTAACTAGCTATATGATCCTGTACAATTTTTCAATGTTCACATCTGTGAAATGGAGATAACAGTAACACCTATCTCACAGGATTATTGTGAGTATCAAATGAGATAACATATGTAAAGTACTTAAAGTACTGTATAAATGCTAGCTATTTTTTTTAATATGGGGATTTTCTCTCAGCCTTTAACCTCCTTTGGGTATATATTCAGTAGTAGGATCACTGTATCAAAGAGTGTGAAATAGTTTAGCCAGTTACATGACTCCAAATTTCTTTTTAGATTGGTTAGATCAATTGGCAGCTCTAGAGATAGTATGATCACGTGCCTATTTCTTCACAGTCCTTTCAACGTTGACTATTTTCAGGCTTACTGTTTAGAAATTCACATCTGTTATATGCCTACTATTCCATATGGGAAAAACCAAAGTATAGGTCACTGAAGTCACTTTTTCAAGGTCACCTGGTTAGTGGTGATTAGAAGAATAAAAAAGGTTAAGGTGACTTCCAATTCTTCTAATCATTATTAAGTAAGTGAACTTTAAAACAGAATCCTGACTATTCTGCCATGTAATACAATAGCAAGAATTTAACGTATGAATAATGAATCCCTCAGCTGTATGGAGCTCCTGAAATTGTTTCTCTAGGGAACTTGTAGAATGTCTTTACTGGAAGCCCTTTAAGAACAAGATCCAATTATCTGGGATGGTTTAGTTCCAAGTCTTGCCTGAAGGAAATGGGATGGACCATATAATGTAAATGTATTTTCCAGCTCTATTTTTTTTGGGTGGTTGAAAATTAAAGAATCACCTCTGGGCTTAGGAGATGGCTTGTGTTCTCTTGGACAGGCGGGAATTAAGGCCTGCTATTTCTGTTGCTATAGCTGTTGTTTATGTGTTTACAGGGCACACCCATTCAGAAGCTCACCAAGGCAGAGTAAGCTTCTCCAATCTGGCTGTCTCAAGCTCAGGATCAAAGTGGTACTTTCTTTTCACTGTGATATCCCCACCAGGTAACTTAAGCACCATTTACATTTGTCATTTCAGGTTTTCGGCTCCTTTCCTAAAAAGTAAGCCCCTTCCTTACAATGGAATTAGCTTCAGTCAAGCAAGCATAGGAAGTTCACCTTCCATTTTGTTTCACAGAGCAACATGGTTTGGTCTTATCACTGAGAAAACAGACCAAGATGGAAGCATAACCTATAAGAAATATCTATAGTGTGACCTGTAGTGAACAAGAATCCAGATAAAAGTGGAAGCACTTGATCTAGATTCAAATATTTTCATAAAGGAGCCAAATCTTTAGTTCTATAGAGGTTGTTAGCAGTGACCTATTGATATGGCCTCATTGATGAAGAAGAGCCTTGGGAGAGCATTTGAAGAGCCCTTTGCACAATAAGATGGAAAGTGTAAAAATAATTAAGACTCAATTCTATGTTAAAAATATGTATAAATTTTATATTTATGTATAAAACCCCTTGATTTATTTCAATTGGGATGGGTTGGGAAGGGTGGATAACTCTTGTCATGTCTCTAGCACTATTGGCAGTCATTACAATAGTTTCCCCTATTTTGGGAAACCTCTATTATCAGTTTTGATATTTTTATGGCAAACATTAGACAAAGTCTAGCTGGGACTGTACAAAATATCCCCTGTTCTTGAGATGCATAACTGCCCCCTTAGAAACCCAAGCTTCCTTTAAAGCACAAGTTAGGTGCCATTTGCTAAGTGAAGCTTTTCCTGGAACAACCTTCAGTTCTCGGTGCTCAGAACCAATTGAAATTGTGTTGCTTTACTTTTTAATGTATATTTTATACATTTATCTATACACATGTTACATCGTCTCCCCAGTAGAATATAAGTTCCTTGAAGATTGTTTCATTTTTATTCTTTTTATCTCCCATGCTCAGCATGTAGCAGGTGTTTTATAAATGTTTATTGAATTGATTGAATCTTGCCTATCTGGCCTTGTAACAATTGAAGATTTTACTTCTTATCCTTTTGTTCTAAGTAAAGGTTTTGACTTAACTATTTTAAGAGGATACCCTTCCAAAGTGGGATAGAGCTGACATAAAGAGATATTAATTCACTGAGAAGAAGAATGACTCTAAAATATAGTCTCAAACATTATACTGGGAATTTCAGAAATCTTCATCTAACATAGGAAGTAAAAATAATACAACAATTACATCATCATCTCCAATAATGCAGCTTTGCCTCATTGTTTGTTTCTTAGGGCTTTGCAAATTGGAATTCATAGCAATGATGATAGATATTATATGGGGAAAATAGATTTATAACTTTGGGTTGTTTGTTTATTTTGGGAGTTTTGAGGGGAAAACATTCTGAAGCTCAGGATATATAAAAATGATAGTTAGGAATTTTCAAAAAATGTTTCTTGAAAAAAATCTATTTTTTAGTTTTTAAACTGATGTTTGGCTAAAATATGATCTTATACCTCATTGAGGTGTGGAAACAACCCTGATTTCTCCAAGTATCGGTCTACCAAGCTTGAAAAACTTCAAGTCTTGCCATCAGTTAAGAACTTTGCACTGAGAAAAAGTTTGGTACAGTGGACAGAACATTCTGTATTTGTATTCAAGGTGACTTGGGTTCAAACCATGGCTCTGCTACTGTGTGATCGTGGGCAAGTCACTTTACTTCTATAGACCTCAGTCTCTTCATGTGTAAAATGAGAGGATTTAACTAGACCATCTCTAATTTCCTCTTCCAGGTCTATTTCTTTGTCTTTATATTCCTAATCTAGATGTTTTTATGCATATTGTGAAGCCTCTTGTGTATATTTAAAGTCTGCATCTGCCCTTATTAGTTAATATGTTAATATTACCTGATGTTTGTTTGTCTGACAATGGACTATGTTGCCTTCTGAGGTCCTGCCCAATTAAATGTAGAGAAACTCATGCTCAAATGGTTGATCACCAGGTGATGATCCAGTTATCAATAACATCCACTCCACAATAAAAATGGTTGTCATCTACACTGGTGGAGGGACATCATACCTAGGTATCCCCAGACACATCATAGTCCACTTCAGCCATCTTCTTGTCATATCCCATCACTCCACCCTCTGCCTCCAAACTGGCACTCCAGATCTCACCAAGAGTCCTGCACTCCTGATTGATGAGAATTGACCACACCTATACATCCCAAGACTGAACCAGTGTACTCTGGCTATCTTCATACTGTGCCACCGTATTTCACTCCACCATTCTGCTTTCTGTCTTTTTCTCTTGTTCTCTGGAAACCAAATCAGCACTACCATTACTGGAATGGATGTCAGTCAATGACTTGATAACTCCGCTCACTATCCCCATGACTTCCCAGACCAAAACATCCATCCCTGGCCACCACCATTCAATATGTGTTATTTTACTCTGTTAGAATATAAACTCCTTTTTGTATTTGTGCTCTCAATACTTGTGCCTGGCACAGGTTAAGTACTTAATAAATGCTTATTTATTCACTCATTCGTCTATTCATTTAAAAAAAATAGATCCTGAAACAATGGAAGTGAATTTTAGCTGCTAAAATTTTTATTTAGAGAACATAGGATCACAGATTTAGAATTGAAAGGGATCTTAGAGGTAAACTATTCCAACCCGCATTATTTTATAGATGTGGAAACTGAGTTCCAGTCAAGTAACTTGTCCAAGATTACAAACATACTAACGGCAAAGCCAGGACTCTAACTATAAATCTAGCACTCTTTTCATTATCATATATTAATACTATGCTACTGAAAATGACCTCATGTAAGAGCATAAGATCATAGATTTAGAACTGGTTTTTTTGATACTAATACTAGGTACAATATAATTGAATTAAATAGATAAAGGGTTTGATCTCTTCATTCCTGGAACTGACACTCTAATCAATAGGAGATAAATTACCAAGTGTTGACTAATAAGGACAAAGTCAACCTTTAACTATCTATATGAGGTTTCCCAATGTATATACATGGGTCAAGTATTTTTCAATATAGAATTTTGGGTTGATAACCATGCATTTCCATTGTAGTTGTCCATAGCTTTTCATAGGTGGTTTTCCTAGGATGTTGGAGTTGGAATGGATGTTAAATGTTTGTTAAAGCCTGACTCATTTTTTTATGGATGAGGAAATTTAGGACCAAGGAGGCAAAATAACTCCCCACGATATCATACAGGTAACAAGTAGAAGACCCAGAATTTAAGCCCACATTTTCTGACACCAAATCCAATGTGTTTTTGATGACACTATTTTGGAGAACCATCAGGTTCTCCAATTTCCTTATTGGTGAAATAGGAATAGGAAGATAGGCAGTTAGGTTATAGTATAGGTTAGTGTTGGACTTGGAGTCAGGAAGGCCTGAGTTCATATCCTGCCTTAGACAGTTACTAGCTATAAGACTCTGTCTAAGTCTCTTAACTTCCTTCCATTTCAGTATCCTCATTTATAGAATGAGGATAATAATTTTAGTGTATACTTGACAGGATTTTTGCAAGGCTTAACTGAGATAAAATATGCAAAACTTAAAGCCCTATTCCTAAAAACATATTGTTAGACTGTGAAGGTCATTTTAAGGACTCAGTAACAAAGGGGAATGCACACTGCTTTGTAGATGAAAACTCTTCAGCATCAGGGATCTGAGTAAGTACCAATTCTGGGCTATGCTTGTTGTTAATGTTCAGCAAACTGTTAGTGAGCAATTTTTCCCTCTCTTCTAAATCTTCAAAGAACTTTGTTAGCGAAATAGACTTGAAGCATTTCTGCATATTGCTTTCTCCAGAGTTCCTATTTATAACTTTCCAGAAGGAGCAGACTTAAGTTAACTGTCAGAACTAGCTTCAGAGCAATGTAAACTGGGAAGAATGTAGATGAAAGATGAAAAGTAATCACATTTCTTTCAGGAAGCCTTCATTTCCCTCATACTTGATTGATATCATATTGAACATCGCAATAGGATTTTGGAGCAGAACTTTGATACCCCAACCAGTAATATTCTCCAATTGACCTGTCAAATCCTTAGGGCAAGTCAACCTTCTAATGGTGGTCACCCATCTGTGCTTGCCCATCCATAGGTTTTTTACATAAATCTACCAAAAAAGGGCCACCAAACACACTGAGGACATGCCAGTCATTCTTTTGATTTTGAGTTGATAACTTGAGAGTGTTATGAGCTATCAATTAGCTAGCCTTATGTCTTTTATTATGTGACTAGCTCATATTTTTTCTTAGTCTCTGATTTACTCTACTTCTGCATCATTTGTTCTTTGTAATGTTTTAGACTATTCACACCCATCATGTGACTTTTCATTGTTTCTTTGCTGATTGTAAAAAATCAATTTTTAAAGATTGTATACTCACATACTATAAAACCTAATGAGACAAATATTGCTGTTTAAAAAAAAAAGATGTTTCTTTGATAGAGATTGAGACATATTTTGGCAAGGTACAGCCAAAGCAGGATTATTATTATTTTTGACTTGAATATGCATACTTTTTATAAGGAGTTTCTTTTTCTTGTTTTTTCCCAAAGGTCAAGGAGATAGAAGGGAAATAAAGATTTTTGTTAATTGAAAAAAAAGCAAATTTTAAAATATAGTAAAAAAGAGGAAAAATAAGATGTACCTTTGTTTCAGGGAAAAAATTAAGGTCATTAAAATTGTGTTATTTCCTAAATGAAAGCCAGGTTAATGTCTTCCTATGTTTAGTTCTAGCTTTGTTTATTGTCCATTTACATGATTTGTACCAGACCCATTATTATTCAATTGTATATGATAGACTAGATAATAGGTATTTTTCATCTACTTTGTTTTTCCTATGTGGATAGTTCGGATGCTATGCAGTATTCATGAACTTGATTCAACAAGCACAATACAATTCACAAATGGGAGCATGTGGAGAACCTGTATTGAATCTCTATTTTATTTCTATGCTGGGCACCCTCCATGAAGATGACAAGCATGGTGGGTGAACATATATTTCCCTCCTTTACATCTCACTTGATAATTA